ATAAGTGTGCGGACAAATATTTTAGACTTATTTTGGTGTAGACAGCTCTCGTTTAATTATTTTACACCATTACAAGTTGTTAAATTGAGAGAATAAATGTGCGGACAAATATTTTAGACTTATTTTGGTGTAGACAGCTCTCGTTTAATTATTTTACACAATTACAAGTTGTTAAATTGAGAGAATAAAAGTATGGACTAATATTTGAGACTTATTTTGGTGTAAACAACTCGCGTTTGATTAATTCCCACAATTACAAGTTGTTAAATTGAGAGACTAAATGTGTGGACAAATATTTTAGACTTATTTTGGTGTAGAAAAGTCGCATTTAATTTACTTTCACAAATTACAAATTGTTAAATTGAGAGAATAAATGTGTGGACAAATATTTGAGACTTATTTTGGTTTAGACAACTCTCATTTAATAATTTTACACCATAAGTTGTTAAATTGAGAGAATAAATGTGTCGACAAATATTTGATACTTATTTAGGTGTAAGAACTCGTGTTTGACCAACTTCCACCATTGCAAGTTGTTAAAATAATGAAATAAATATACTGGTATCATTGGATATTTGATTTAATTGTGAAACTTTCTAGCAAAATGTTAACTGCTGGCTTCGAACCCTCAACCAAAATTCTGCAGACACAGTATAAATTCCACAACACCACAGAAGATATTCGTCTGTTGCCTGAATTGCTTACTTTAACAAAACTTACCTTGACTTGGGTCTTGTTTATCTCTTGTCACAATCTGTAAACTGTTGAACAAATTGCTTTTATTATTATTTTTTTGGGGGCCATTGCTTCAAAAGTCTTAGGTTTGAGAACCGCTAGTCCGGTCGATATGAAATTCAGTATATAGCATCTATTCATATAGCTCTATAAAATTGTCATAAAAAATGTTTGATTACCAGTTTAAGACGTAAGTTATTTTATTATTTATTCATTCAGTTTTGTATGGTGGAGTTTTGTGAGGTTTATTATTTTTCGCGACGTTCTTTGTTTACTTGTTTACGGTTTGTGAGATTTCAGTTTATTTGATTTACGTTTTTACGGTAGCTCTGAGCAGGACTCGAACCCACTGTCTTTTCAAGCTAATTTGTGTACCACGCCACGACGTTGGTCGTTAAGTGGTGTTCATTTTTCTAACTACTCCAGTGTTCCGATGAGTTGAACGGAAAAGCCAAAACGATTGCTGGTTTCTGATTGCTTCGGTTCTGGTGAGTGTGTATCTAGTGTGATTCGAACCCATTGGGAGTTTTTTTTTATTTCCCATGTTGGCTACGCCGTAATATGCAACCACTTCCCTGTTTTATTGTGATTTTGAGAGTGTTTAATGATGTTTTCCTCACCCGTCACGCCATGACCCAGTTTCACGGCCATTTTGCAACACAGTGCGTGACCCTCGGCGTGACCCGACTGATTATTTGATCGTTCTGTTCAACTGTTAAGCTAGGATTTATTACCGTTATTATCATTATATTGTCACGTGATTTGTTTTACCTTATGTGTAATGTCTTAAGTATCTTTATTGTAATTTGTATATACCAATTCGTATATAATAATAATAATAATAATAATAAAATAATAAATAATAATAATAATAATGTTTATTCAACCTTTGTATCGGCAGCATGAAAACAGTAATACATATATTTAAATTACATTCATCATTTCTTTTCTATATTGCCATAAATCAGTTACATATTTCCTAATTAAAGCTAATGACGTATTTCCCAAATTTTCATTTATGTTCCATACTGTATCACCAAAAAGGAAATTGAACCTATAATTCAACCCCCCTGAAAGAAAACTATTCATTAAGTGATGAAGATTCAACATTGTTTCTCAGTGATCGA